GAATTACAAGAGGACAAAGAAAAGGTTGGGTGGGTTTTTTCATATCGTTATACCTTAATTGCAAAGCTAGGAGCCATAACAGTATGACTTCATGTTATTATTAATTCATGAAAAGAAAAACATGTAGAAAATAGAAAGTTAAATAAATAATAAAGATATATGATGCTAACAACAGCTACATTTCTTGTTCCGTTTGTTCTTTTTTTTTTTTTTTTTCTGATGATGATAGGATACGCGTATTATCGTCATACTTGTATGGGGAATGAAGACAAAATACTCCGTTAAATAATTATGTGCATTAGAAATTGGGAGAATGACAAAAAAAAGAAGATGAAAATTGTAAATCCCAAATTAGGTTTAGTAGCATAAGTTTATTTGGTATTGACAAGTTTAAATTTGCAAATAACAACAAATTTTTGTTGATATTCTTTCTTTGGTATTTACAAAATTCCAGCTTCTTTTTTTTAATCATTTTCCCTTAGAAATTGGAGGGGATCGAGTATAGAAGGTTCTGCTTAATCAATCAATCAATAATTAATAGATTAGAAAAGTCCAAAAATTGTTGTTTTTAAGAATAAAAAGAATATACTTATGCATGCATGGTCAACTTTGGTCGACCGCGTATTTGAGATTTTAATCTTAAGTGGAAAAATAAAATAAAATTACAGGGGGATTCAAATGGTTAAAGTTAATAAAAATATATTATGATCGAAGAGTACTCAAAAGAAAATGAATCAATCAACTATTGCACCGCAAGGCATAGAAACGATATATGTATATATGTGTGCGGGTGGCCAATGATGAGAAATAGATAGTCCACCAAACCAAAAAATAGAAAACTTATATTTAATTAATCGAATTATTCCATAACTAAATTATTGTTACCATGTGTGCATTACCCCAAAAAAAATTACTGTATGTTATCATGCATACTATATAATGACAAGACAGTAATTTTTGTTTTATTAACAGTTAACTTGAAAATAGCTCTTGTACGCGCGCGCACGCATATACAGCTAGACACGATATATAGTATCTTTCTTTTGTTGGGAAAAAATAGTATCTTTATTTATTTATTTTAGTAGATAACCCATTTATGTTAATACATTAACTTATTTTATCCTAGCTAGAAACGAAATTTCTTTTGGAGTTCATGGGTTCCAATTGGCTCCAAATTCAGTCAAGCAACGTCACACACACACACACACATATATATATAGGCAATCATCTCAATTATTATGACTTCTGAGTAATGATTAACGAAAATTACAGTTAAACTGATTGATTAGTTCTAATTAAGCAGAGAAGGTTCTATTTATTTAGTAAACCCTGTTAAGGTTAGGTAAAGTGACAGCAATAAAGTAACATATATGCCAACCTCCAACCTAAATAGATACAGTGACCCAAAATCTAAACAAAAGTCAAAGAGAAGGAATATGACATGGAAATGTTTTATATCAAGGAAAAAAATAGTTTGAGAAAATAAATTAAGATTAAAAAAAATCAGATAATCAAACAAGCTAAAGATCCATTTGTTAATTAGTGAAGAACTTAAAAATTTCTAAGCCACATGACCTGGAAGAAAATATGGGGTTTGCCGCTCCCATGCATGGCTTTTACTTTCATGATCAGGGTTCGACTAATAGATAATTTTTTTAAAGAAAATAATTAGTTTATAATAAAACATTAGTAAATCGGTGGAGTTGTCACTGTTAATTATGCTAAATAATAATATCTCACCGGCAGTGTTCACTTAAACAAAAAGCACTGAGCTTCACTGATCACAATGAATGCATATTTATGTGAGATTCCGAATGTAATTTTATTTTCCCTTTTTAAAAATTACAAATTCGGATTTGCGATCTTACTGATCTGTTTCACTAAGAAAATAATAATAATAAAAACCCCGAAAAGATTCTCTGGTAATTTAAAAATGAATAGCATTTTTGTTGGTCATGGCCATGGGCGACCAATATCAGATCACACTAATTTTTATATTTTTATGTTAGTTAGAATACTGGAAATGAAATTTGACTGTCGCGTGTGGGCATCAGTGAGTTGTGTGTCCTGAATCTTTGTCAGAAAAATTAATCGTCTTGGGCAACACCCACGGTAAGGAGTAGACTTGATTTGAGCCAACAATTCGGGCTGGACCAAGCCCAGTTCATTTAGGCTTGACCTGAGCCCAATACACATGGGCCTTCAAACAGTTTTCTTGACCGAACCGATGAGTTGATTTCAAGGATCCATTTCAGCCATTTGGTCTGCTTGTCGTTGAGTTTTAAAATTTAACACTCAACTAACGGTGTGTTTGGCTCAATAGAGGGATGGGATGGGATGGGAGGGAGGTTTTAATAGAGGGAAAGGAGATGAAGAAAGAGAAAGGATTTTATTACTTTGTTTAGATTAATACGAGAGGAAAGGAGGGAGAAATTTTAATGTTACCTTGTTTGGTTTAGGAAGGGAGGGGAGGCAAAATATTTTTATATAGATAACTTTGCCCTTATATTATTTTAAGTTGATTTTTACAAATTTTATAGAGTAATTAATAAAATATAATTATAAATAATATTTAATACATGAGATCAACTTTTTATAATTAGCAAAATTAAATAGATATAATGATAATACATATTTAATAGCTACTATACATCCAATAATTATAATTATTTTATATCCAAAATCTGATTTAATGAAATAAATATGTTTAATTTGAGTATGTTTTTCAACTTCATTTTTTCCTGTTTTTTGATATGAATAGTCAAATAACTTTTTCAAAGATGACAACAATGACCTATTTATATGTTTTTATTTGAATGCTTGATTCGTTTGGAAATTAAAATATATTTGATAGCAACTTTTTTTTTTTATATATATTTGATAGCATATAAATGAGGGAATAGAGGCATGATTAAATCCATAAATATATCAAATCACATACATTTGGCAGTGAAGGGTAGCATGGGATTATTAGAAAATAATATGGGTAATTAGTCAACACAAGCCAAAATATTACTCTTTCCTTCCAAATTTATCCAATTTTGGAGGGGAGGCTTATGAGGGGAGGGGAGGGAAAATGTTAAAAAAATTTTCCTCCCCTCCTAAAATTTTTATCTTACCAAACAAAAAAATGATTAAAATCCCTCCTCCTTCATCCCTTTCCTTCCAAATCCTTCATACCAAACAGACCATAAATGACTTTTTAATTTTGGATAGTGTATCAGATATTACTTCTAATCCTAATTATAAGACCTTATTTATATTGAAAGCAGTATAATTAAACATAATTCTCTCCAATAGAAGTATAGTAAGGCAAAAAAAAAATAAATCAACTGAATCTGAATAAATGAAGATAAGCATTTATATATTATCATCCGATACAGAGTGTTAACGATCTTTAAAGCAATCTATTAATTCTGTCCTCTGTCGTAAGTCGTCACTTATTTATGCATTTGAAATTGATACCATCAGATTTCAGTGAGTTGACTTGTTTACCGATTATCCTATAAATCAATGATCAGCTGATTCAGAACGGATTAAAAAAAAAAAAAGAAATAATTGGACGGCAACGTAATTTTGTCTCTCTTCAAGTCGGGGAAGCAAGTTAGAATTGAGCCCTTTTAAAGTGATATTAACCGTGTGGGGTCGATACCTGCCAACGAACGCCCCGCCCGGGGGGGGGGGGGCCTAGATGCCACAGCATAGTTGAAGGACGAAAACGCACGCAATAACAGAAAAACTAAAAAGGAACATATAGGTGGCTACTTGTATATTGATTGAGAAAACAAAATTAAACGAAGGACGCTTACATCACTGTTGAATTTAATAAACACACTTGATGAGTCAAATAAAGTCAACAAAGAAATGAAAGGAATAAGCAAAACAACTTAATTATTATTATTATAATTATTATATCGCAAACTGATGAAGCCACCGTATATAAAATGGACAAGCGTAATTAATGAATCATTAATTAGTTGGCCCTCCTGCAGTTTTTCCTGATCTCGCCCTGAGAGCCAGTGAGGGGGGAGATGTCGCCCATCTTGATCATGGCTCCAACGAAATCCTCAGCGAAGGATCTGAGGTTGGCGCTGTAGCCTTGCACAATGGAGTCGACGGATCCGCCATTGAAGAGCTCCTGATCGGAGTGAAGAAGCCCTTTCTTCTGAACCAGGTTCTTGAAGTAGCTGTTGTCGAAGTAAGTGGGACTCGCTAAATCAAGAGGAGCCAGATTGTTGTCCCCTGTACCTGAGACCCTGGGGCAGTTCGTTTGCCTGGTGCGAGCGAAACCTGCGTATATGTTGCTCTCGTTGTATATGTGAGCCCTGAAATTAGTGCATCTCGCTTGTCCAATCGTGTGCCCACCTATACAACGGTGGAATAATTATATATGAATGTTAATTAGAAGAGAGCGAGATCAATGAAGGTTAGAATAAGGGAAAGTGAAAAATATATGTACCAGAGAGAGCGACCAAGTCCTTGGTGGAGAGACCGAGTGAGGAGAATCTGGATATGAGTTGGTTGAGGTTAGAGGTGGGTGGTGGGATACCGTTGTTTGCGGCAGAGAGACTGGTGATTCTGGCGTCTCTTCTTCCGAGCTTCACGTCCCAGTATGGCCCTCCAAGCTGAAATTTTTATTAAGTGTCAACACACAACGTAACGCTCCTCCATTAATATGTTGGCATGTGAGGATTATTATGTTAAACACAGAGAGGGGGGGGGGGGGGGGGGAGAGGGAGAACTCACAAGGTGGACGGAGTCTCTGGAGGTGACGGCGAGAATGTCGGCACAGGAGACGATGCCTGGGCACGCTTTCTCGACCTCCGACTTGATGGCGTCGATCACTTCGAAGCCGCGAGCTGAGTTCTTGTTGGGCACTGCGCCCTTCTCTCCCTTGAAATTGGACGTGTCATCCAGAAGAATCGAACCATCACACCCCTTCCATATTTACGCCAGACAACACTCTATATTAGCTTCAATGATTTGTTACTACCATCTTCATAATACTTGAAGGATCTTTTTACCGTAAAGTTTAGATTTCAGATAGAGAAATTAAAGCCGCAGGAGGAAGTGGAAACTCATGCATGCGAGTGCATTTGATGCAATAATTAATTAAAATATGAAAGTAAAGCATAGAAGAATTACATTAACAAAGCAGTCGTGGAAGAACAAGCGAAGAAGAGAAGCACCCATGCGTGCCTCCTTGGCAATGGCGGAATGCACTGCACGATTCACAATGTAGGGAAGTTGAGGGCAAGATCTCGCGTAAAAGTCTGCAGAAAGCTGTGCGTTCACAGTACTCCCCAAGAGCAGAACCACCAAAACCAGAACACAACGGCTCATTGAGCTCGGAGAACCCATAATGAAAAAGGAGGTGGTTTAATTTGTTGTGTACGTGACTTTGTTGTGGCTGTGAATGAGTTGTGAGAATGTTGTGCATTGCAGGGGAGGGCTATTGGAGGTGTATATATAATAGATGAGGATGGGCTAGCTTGAAACTTCGAAGTGGCCAGACCTCAAGGTGGTTTGGGTCGGCAGGTGACCTAACACGTAGAGAAATAAGTGCATGGGTGAGTATGGAGGAATATTTCCAACTTTCAAAGCCAGTTTACGCTGTTTCATACTCGACAATAATCATTATAGAAATTAGAAATACCAGAAGGGGGGTGTGTGTGATTTTAATTTAAGGAACCAGAAGGAGAAAAAAAGAACCGGCGTCATACTGTTGTTCGTTTGAAGCAAAGAGGTTGGTAAATAGTGCATATTTGTCAAGGTTGGGGGGCCCATTAATAAGTTAACGCTTTGATGAGTGACGTATGGGTAATAATATACTCATCCGGTTCTAATTATAAGACCCAATTGACTTATTTGAGGAGATTAAGGAAGTAAGTTAAGTTGGTTATTTATAATAAATAAGTGTTGTTATTCCTAAAATATCCTTGCTAATTAAGTATATTGGCTAAAACTATCATTATTAGAAAGATTATCTTGGAAAAAAATACATAAATATAAAAGAGAAAATGGATTGGGTCTTATAATTAGGACCAAATAAAAAGTCAAATTGGATCTTATAATAAGGACCGGAGGAGTATTATTTTATTTACATGCGATACAGCCAGCAGCAGATCAGAGCAGTACTTGAAGATATATTATATAAAAATAGAAGGCGAAATTTGACTGGCTCCTTGGAGGTTCCAGAAACCAGAAAAGCTAAAGCGTAAAGAAGAGGAACCATCTGTTCCTGGGCATTGACTTAGTTTAATTTACAAAAGTAGAGTTTAATTTGGTGAGGAAGCTTTTGTAAAAGTTCATTATTAATTATCTACCATTTGAAGCAACGCGTGGTTTATTTTATGGGATCAAAATAGAACAACTCAACAACCACCCTCTGCCCTCAAATTAAGCCTTTTTCAAGTAAGTGCCTGGATCAATCATATAATTACGTTCAACCCAGCAGAGGAAACTTGTTATATGTGTATATGGGAAGCTGTGTGACTAGTAATAATTTGAATATTTCATTTTTTTAGAGACGTGCGTAAACTTCTCAAAACAGTACCGTTGTCATGAACATGCAATTCTATGTATGAATTTCTTTCCCTAAAATATCAGCAACTATTACAAATAATAGAAGACGTCAGTTGTATAAATGATGTGATAACTTTGTATTATTGATAATTGATCACTACCGCTCATTTATATATGATTATTAAAAATTCAATGAGCTAGGTGGTACGAGTTGGTTAAACTTAGTACCACATCAATAGTAGTACTAATTAAGATGGAAATTAGTTTTAGTACAAAGGAAGGAGGTGATTGTTTGGACCACTAGGGGAGGGTTCAGACATTCTTTTGACCGTCCAATTTTGACCTTATAATGGACTCTCTCTCTCTCTCTCTCTCTCTCTCTCTCTGTGGATGTGCTTTATTGGCTGTGTCAAAAGGAGCAGTTGAGTTTACAATTTAAAAACAATAAAATATTAACGCGACCCACACACACACACCCACAAATATAAATGTAAATATGTTTGCTTCAATTAATTCGACGGGTCACCTTGTCACTTTTGATAGTGGTTGGAGTCAGAGCCCTTCCTTGCGCTGCAAAACAAGAAAAAGTCGTACAAGCACCGCCACATGCACCTTGGAATCCCTTTTTTTTTTTTGGAAATTAATTGTACTACATAGCTCAACAGATGAAATGTTATAATCCGTGGAAATTTTTGAAACTAAATTATTGGTCGGAAAAAAAAAGCTAAATTTTTTTTTCAGGATTTAGGTCCGATAACCCTTTTCAATTGTCATGAAGCATGCTCTAATTACTACCTCCGGTCTTAATTATAAGACTCAGTTGACTAATTTAAAGAATAAGTAATTTAGTTAAATTAGTTATTTGTAATGAATATATGTTGTTTTTTCTAAAATATTTTTACTAACCAAGTTTGTTATCTAGAACTATTATTATTGAAAGGATTATCTTGGAAAAAAATAGATAAATATGAGAGATAAAATAGATTGAGATCTTATATTTAGGACCAAAATAAAAATCAAACAAAGTATTATATTAAGGACCAGAGGTAGTATTAGATATTGCTTTGAAGTATTTTGGACACAGTTGATTTTGTGTTATGTGGAATGCGGAATTTGATGGGATTTCATTGCGCAAAATTATCAATTTGAGCCTCTGGGTTCCTAATTGAGAATTTAAAATTTTAAGTTTAAGCGTCTCACTGCCATCAAGAGATCAACCACTCCTTCAAAACTTCAGTCAACAGGATTTAAATATTTGCGGACACAAACATCCTGTGTATGCGAACCATAAAAAACAAAAACAAAAACACATGTAGCATTCCATCATTGACAGCCTCATTTACACCATTCTTTTTTTTTTCTTTCTTTTTTCCTGTCATTATCTCTATTGATTGAACTTGGATCCTTTTTTATAATATGGATAATTTTCGCTCTTTCTAGAAGAGTCATATTAATTTTAGATTTGTGATTATAGTTTGTGATCTTTGAACCTTTCAATTTATTTTAGATTTGTTATTGAATCATTCAGTTATCATATGCTCTGGATATATGTGAATATTAGATTAAATTTCGGTGAGCACCAAATCTGGATGGTTCCTTTTTTATTATATCTTTTTATTTTTAAAAATTGTTTTAATGACTACAAAATTTAAAATAAAGATAATATCTTGATTGTTATTTTTTAAAAAAACAATGATTTTATTATTTGAAAGCAACCAATTACAAATTTTAAAAACTGACTGTCGAAACCATATTTAGACTGCGTAAATCATATAACCACAATAAGTATCATGATACCAATCACTGTGAATCTGTGATAATTAACTTGTTCACTTAAAAGTATATAATTTTTAAAAAAATCTTATTCCTTTTCTATGAAGGGAATCTTAGATTTTAAAATTTAAATCAAACTAATGGACTTGTTGAATTAAGGATTCACCCGTCAGAATGGGAAGTATGTTCTCGTAACATCTAGTTAACTTTATATTGTAGGCAAAGAGTTGTAACTTGGTTTCAACAAAACGTTGGCGTGGTGTGACTTTTAAACAATAATTCCCAAATCTTCTTTGTTTTGTGTTCTTGAGCTACAAAGTTTTGTTTGGTCAAAAAATGCACCATAGATACAAAAAAAAATCCAATAAATCAATACTTATCTCTTAATTTTCATACAATGCTTGGGCCATATCTAATTAAGAAGAATGGGGTGTGTGTGTGTGTATAATCTGAAAAGGTATTTGTTGTCTAAGAAAAAAAATTAAGAATAAATTAAGGAGATGTTTGGAATTTTCGTTTTTGAATCTCCGCTAAATGGTGCGGTGTGTGAATTACGGTACCATTAAATTATAAACTGTTAGGGGATGAAAGTTGAATGATTGCTGGTGAGCAGTGGCCTAAAAATTAGACAAAATGACCCTTTGAGATCATTTAAGGGAGGTCGACATCAGATTTAAAAAATCATAATTAAAAATTAAGGTCTTTAATTGATCCAAAATTTCTGCGGACCATTGCTTGGCAGCTGGAAACGTATAGCTCGCGACGTTTGAAAACCCATATTCAATACACTTTTAAATTAAAAAATGAAAATTTAATGGCAAATAATTATCTAAAAGCGGAATTTAACACAGGAATATATATATATATATATATATATATATATATGACAATAAGGTTTCTTATAACTTATAAGGGAAAACCATATTGGAGGTACTTATACTTTTTTTCAATTTTCAATTTGGTACCTATGTGTTTTTTGTTCTTAACTAAATCTTTAATTTTGCTCTATTAACATCATTAATCCTTATGTAGAGACTAAAAATATTAATAGAACAAAGTTATAAGAGCTAATGTTGCCAAAAAGATAAAATTAAATGTTTAATTAAAGGGAAAAAAACACATAAGTACCAAATTAAAAATTGAGAGAAAGTATAGGTACCTTCAATTAGTTTTCATAACTTATAATTATAATTTAACTTACATTATTTACAAGAGAATAAGCTTTCAATTTTTAGAAGTCGTCATACTTTCTGATTAAGTAAGGATACTTTGTAATTAATAGCGGGAGATTTTTCTTTCCATGGATATAAACTTTTTTCGCAATATATAGGGATTTATTCATCACGATATTTCTCAAAAGAAAAAAATAAACGTATGAATCTGGCCCAAAAAAAGCAAGAAGATAAACGTATTAAAAAAAAATCCATGAAGTGAAGTTGAAAATTGCTCCGTTTCATCCAATAACCCAATTAAGTCACGTAGCGTGAAGTATTTAGTAAATCTACTGGCTGAAGAAAAAAATTAAAGAGACAAATCTTTTAAGTTTATTTTGTTAAATAGCTTGGACTTGTATGAGCAAGCATCTTCCCGTTAATCATGCATGTTGAAAGTGAGTTACGGGAAAGATTACTTCAGTAGTTCGAAATATGTATAGTCAAAATCATGTGTGTAAAGAATCTCCCACCTTGTTCATTTTTAATACAAGGCCAAAAAAACTCAATAAATTATTTTTTTCTAAGAAAAATATGGTGTACAATCAAATATATTCACGATATACATTTATCTATGGAGTGGTAAAGAAAGATTAAAGAAAATACTCAACGGCATTATCGAACGAAGCATTAAAAATTTAATTATTGTTAAAGCATAATAACACTTAACGATTCATATATGTAGGCAACTTTGCCTTATAAGAATTGCTGTTGTTATATACGTCACACCAATAGTTCAAAAAGATGTCTAATGAAAGAGCATTACCGTTTAGAAGTGGTTGGGAAGAGTTCCATTTGGTTCCCGCAATGGTAACATAAGGTCCTACTAAAGATCACAACATTGGTTTAGCTATAACCTTTTCATTAATCAACACCAAAAAATTCAAAGCATCATGAGATCACAACCTTGGTTTTCAACACCAGAATAAAGTGTCACTGATCATAATTACGTCCTAGGGATCTTTTATTTAGGATGGATACAAGTGAAGCCAATAGAGCAGGCCATAGAAATTTTGATACTCCAAGAGAGTAGAATTTCTTCTAAGAAAACTAATTAACAGCGACGTTTTGCTTTAGCTTCAAATGAGGTTGAGAATTGACGTACACTTGTAACATACTCGTACATCATTTGGATATGAAACATTATGTGACCTAATTTGTCTGCTGCAATAATGTTCCAGAAGAGCATATTTGAAACTGCTTAGCGGTTTCACATTGTGGAAACTGGTTCACTATTTCAAAGTTATTCCCATTCATCACGCTCCATTGCTTGAAATTTCTACTCCTTGGTCATAAAGATTAGATACGCTTTAATTATTTTAACTCAAATTAGTCAAAAAAGCCATGTGCTGCTCGCCGGCCTCATTGCCTTTCGTTTCAATTAATTAATTGGTTTTTTTGGCCAACCAATTAATAAGTTGTTAGACGACATTATAATTTAGCCTTACATACATATGTATACTATAGCGTGGGATGAAAACAATCGCAGGCAATTTATTAGATGCTGTTTTTATTTTTAAAAATCATTAATGTAGGAGCTTGATAATTAATCTATAAAGATCAAAAAGACTAGTTAAATTAATTATTTGTAAAAAAATGTGTGCTGATGGTTTTAGTGAAATTCTTAAACTAGGCTTTCTGATTTGAGGGAAAAGTAATTCGTAGTTCAATTAAAAAGATATTAATAAGTTTGATTTTTTTTTTGTACTCTACAAATCAAATGTTAAATTCTTAAACTGCGCTTTATGGTAGAATATGCTCGGTTAAATTATCGACGTGAGATTACAATCGTCTGAAAATGAGCGTATATAAAGTTAGCATGCTATGTTGATCGATACTTAATTTTAATTAATACTCTATTTAATCTTAAATATAAGATCAAATTACAAAATTTTATTAATTAAATTAGTCATTTAATGAAAATTGTGTGTCGTTTTCTCTAAAGTGTCTCTATATCTCTCTTTCAACGATGAAATTAAGTGTACAAGACAAAAGAATAAAAAAAAGCAGTAAAACTAATCAACAAAATATTAAAAAAATTATAAATACAAAGTGAATTAAAAATTTATATTTACAATCAAGCCTATTAATTATATAAGTTCTGTAAGAAATTAATTTGTCTTTGTAGCTCATCTTTTTGTTCGTTGACGACTGAATGAAATATTTGTAAATAGGAAGTGCCAAAAAAATTGTTGCGCCACTCTTGTGATGGAATGTTGACTAGTGGTTAAAGTAATAGGAATTAGGATAGAGTCATTATCGTGGGAGAAATTGAAATTAAATTGGCTTCAAGGATATGAAACGAAATTCGATAAGGCCATTGACTCAAGCAGCATAACATAAAACAAAGAGATACTCTACCGCGATTTCTTAACTACCTACGAATTTAATGTTGTTGATATTTTGATCTCAACGGTTTAGACTTAATGACTTCCAATGATTGATTTTATTTTATTCAATTTTATTTTATCTAATTGGAGGCCATCTACACAGGTTTTTATATAAGTTTTAATTGAAATATAGTCTCTGATCCTTAATATAAAAGCTCATTTAATTTTTATTTTGGTTCTAAATATAAGATCTCAATTCATTTTTTTTCTCATGTTTATTCATTTTTTCTTAAGGTAGTTTTTGTAATAATAGTAGTTATAACAAACATATTTGATTGATAAGGATATTTTTAAAAAGATAACATCTATTTATTACAAATAACTAATTTAACTAGTTTTTTGAATCTACTCAAATCAGTCAACTAGTTTTTATATTAAAGACTAGAGATAGTATCAGTTTAAACAAATTTGAGTAATTTTAGCATGATTTTATTTTATTCAGTTTCGAGAATGTTAGAATTGATTTTTGTGCTGATCATTTTTACATTGTATTCATGGGTTGCATGCCATGTAGTATCAATATATTGCAAACTTGCAACCAAGCTTAATTCAAAGCAAAATCTCTCATGTGTGAAACATTTTTTAAGAGGTAATTTATATCTAACAAATATTAGATATAAATTTAATTTTAATAAGTCTCTAATTTGGCTTGAGTATATATGAAAGATATAATCTTTCAATCTTCACAATATAATCAAACAATTCGATGGACAACATCTTGAAGACATAATTTCTTTTTCTCGAAGCCGGAGGAATGTCTCACACTTTCTATGTTTTATGATGAGCACTATGAATTGTTTTTTTTTTCTATTTTACACTGGTAAAATTTTAAAATTTAAATTATTCAGATTTAGTTTTGACATTCTTTATTAAAAATATGTAAATATATTGATAAGGGCTTAAGTGAGGCCTAAATATAAATGGGCCCTGTTTTAGAACCCAGTTGGTTGCGATGAGTTTAACGCTTTATATTCGTAATTCGTAGAGCCTCAATCATTAATGCGATCTCAGTTAATGGGCTAATAGCCGCCTAAGGAATATTCTGGACCCAATACTGTTTAACTTTTTATCCAATGGGCCTTTTTCTGTTCACACCCAAAAACCTACTGTCTTCGAATTTACTACTCTTTTTTTTTTTTTTTCCATTTCGTATGCTGGTTAGTCTCAAAACAAAAAGGTGATTTCTGCCACTTATCATGTTTGGATAATATTAACGTTGATATATTTGTATGTGTGCGTATATTTAATTGTACAAAAATAAAAATAAAGATCATGCCACTCTTAAAAGGAAAAAATCACCATGAGATCTCAGAAAAGGAATTCAATTACTAAGAAAGTCCAACAATAAGTGACCAATATGAATATTGTCATTTCTTATTTTGAAATTTGTTATTGAATGTTCTTCAATTGTTGATAAACTTTAAGGTAATTAAATCTCTTTATTGGGACTTGATTGTAATTTTTTCCTTAAAAATGCATGCGTATGTCAAATTTTTCTTTTCTTTTTTTCTTTTTTTCTTTTTTGCTCTCCGACCCCATTTGATAACGTGTTAAGGCTTATATTGGTTGTCACACCAAGCCAAAAGAAAATAAAAAATAAAATTGTAAGTCCTTATAGTTTTAACTGATTTTGAATTAGGTCCCTATAGTTTATTTCTTTTATTAGGTCCTTATACTTTCACATCTTTTTAATTAGGTCTTGTATTTATTTTTCTTTTTATGAAGTCCTTATAAGTTCACCTCATTTTTAATTAAGTCCCTGAATTTTTTACTCTTTATTTTGTGAATTCTAATAATACTATTCTATAATCATAAAATAGTATATATTATTTAATATTAGTTTATTATAACAATAAAAAATATTCTAAAAATAATGAATTATTACAATAATTTTATTTTTTGCCAGCAAGAAAATATTATTTGTTCTAAAAAATTTATATGAATTAATTAATTATATTACTTATATTAATTTAATTTAATTATTAATATTTTATATTTCAGTAATCTAATTAAGTTTATATTTAACTAATAAATAAATATTAAAACAACATGGACCTGATTAAGAATTTAGGGAAATTATAAGGACTTTATAAAAAGAAAAATAAATGCAAGGATCTAATTAAAAACATGTGAAAGAATAAGGACCTAATAAAAAAAAAAAACTATAAGGACCTGATTCAAAATTGGTTGAAACTATAAGGACTTACAGATTAATTAACTCTTAGTATTTCTCTTCTAATAGTTACGCCTTTCTATCTGCTGAAAGAAAATTGAATTTCCGTGCAATTGTCATTCTACGTTCTGTTGGCCGTTTTCAATATTTAACATTTTTTAATACAAGTTCTTTTTTTAGCAAAAGATAAAAAGTAGTCATGTTCTTTATAAGCATTAATTAATCGTACGCGAGAAAGGAAGCAGAAACAAAAATGAATCTACACAGAAAATACCAAAAGAAATAGATGTGCAATGCAAATCCGAATTTCTGTGATACGCCTTGTCGTCTGACGTTGTTTCTTTCTTTCTGGGTAGTTGGTACAGTTACACCAATCTTTGCCCGCACACAGCTTCGTAGGGATTTAATTAAGTGAATCAACACGCTTTTCCGTATTCAATATGTTTATTATCAAATTTTAATTATTTCACATTCCCTTTTAATTAGTAACTGTTTTTTTCCTTGTATCTTATATTTTAAAAATAAAACAAATTTATGTATAATTCATTGAAATTAAATATAAATACCTGGAATATCACAAAAATGTTCACAGCGCCCTTATCCAAAAGCGTCGGCCATTATTTATTTCTTATTCCCAGTTCCCACGGTTTTGTCGTTAACCATCAACGCATGTGCAGTTTTACATAAAGATCAGACACGTGTTGAAGTGCATGTGCATCAATTAAGTATGCGACAGAATATCTGAACAAAGCTTTTTACCAAAAGAAAAAAATCCGTAATTAATCAAACAGTTTTGAATAAACTGATTCGCCAAGGAAGATTGTCAAAAGGTGGGAAGAAAAAAGTTTTATACTATTAAATGTTGGTGGGGCAGGAAGGAGAATCAATCAAGTGCAGATGCAATGAGCTCTGGTCAAGGAAGTAAAGGACCTTGTGAGTAGTGAAGCAGGCTCTATATGTTAGCTCAAAAAGACGCAGGAGCAAAACCAAGCACCCAGATGAAACCAGGCCAAGAGAAGCCTGTGGTTTTAAGGCTTTCGGTGTTCCCTCCCTCGGCAACAGAGTCAGTCAGATTCTGAACCCGGGGGCCATACCCTAAATCAACGGCAATGTCTCCCAACTCGACTCTCACCATTCCTTGCCTCTCTTCTATAAATAACCAACCTTTTCTTTCCATGGCTTCTCATTCGCAGTTCATTCAACACCTTCCGCACATTTACACACAAACCAACATGTCAGTTCATTCCTGGGTTTCTGAACACAAGCTTGCTTCCATTGGTATGTCATCCCACATTCGTAACCTTTCTCTCTTTCTGTCAGTGAAGGAAATTACATAACTTGCTCATCGTGGGGGTGTTGATTGGAATTGCAGGGGCATTATGGGCCACAGGAATAGGGGCATCCTTCCTGGCTAACTCTCGCAAAGCCTCTGCTATGAAACCTAGTCTCAGGCTTATTCATGCCAGGTAACATTTTGGTGTGGCTTTTATGCTCTGTTCAGTTTTGATTCATTATTTATTTGCTGAAATTGAGGTGGGGTTGCTTTGGTTTTGGATGAAGGATGCATGCTCAGGCATTAACACTGGCTGTGCTCTCCGGCGCCGCCGCTTGTCACTACTATGACAATCGTCTTTCTTCTGATGCTCAGCCCCAAAAACCACAGGTGGAGACTGCTCGTTCCGATATCAGAGAGGTGGTCGAATGGGAGCTTCTTTCTCCTTTCTAATAATTTCTTTCATAAGTGATTTTATGTATCGGTGTTGCTTTAATTTTGTTATCTTATCACTCCAAGTTATCGCCATCAGTCTGCATGGACTATGGATATGTAGTGATAACCCACTTTATAATGTAGATACAATTTTCTCTCACCTTCCTGCTTCCCTCTTCTTCAGCTTTCTAAAGCATAATTATCTCATTGGAAACTAATTAAGGATTGCAGTGCTTCCTTAACCCTCCCGTGGAAAACAAAAATAAATTAAAAGAAAAACTTACTGATACAACAATTTTTAATTTAGTCCCTGCAATTTATTTTTTCAAAATACTCAAACGTTTTTCACAGTTTGAGTTAGTTAATCCTCATTCTCATCTACACCAAATGTCTAAAACTCAAAACACAAGTGTACCTACCAATGCCATATCTGATAAGAGTGGCGGAGACAGGCAAATAAATAGACGGGCTGGGAAGAGAGTGTAATTGTATGACGGAGCCACTCGAATCAACACGCTGACGATTGACCAATCCGCTTGCTTTGCTAGTAATACATTACTTCATTGCTTAATTCTCTCTGTAGACTTAGATTTAATTTGCATACTACCAATAAGATAACTGTAAAATATTGGACATTTGATTGATTATTTCTCGACCACAAATATTCGATAAGGTCTTCACAGGCCACATCATCAAAATTTAAATGGGCTGAAAGATTAACAGGCCATTTAAAACGTACATCCATATATCTATAAGGGTCTTCTTCTTTCTTTGTTTTTTTTTATTTGGGGCCTGAATATCTATAATGGTCTTCACACCTCTGTGTGTTTCGACATTTCAAAGTTACCTTGCACCCCTGTTCTTAAACCACAAGTCCACAACAACATGTAAAGTACGTTCCTTCTAGTGTTTTCAAAATACATGACAAGTCTTAAATTGTTCACACTTTTAGTTCTAGCAATTCATCCAAAGTTGGTTTGCTTTTCATCTGAAGCACACGCTGATGATTAATCTCGTTCACCTGTACTGGCTCCCTCTTGTAAACGTACCTACTTGATGCCCAAAGAAACGCCACTAAGTTGGCAATTGATATCACCAACAGAAACCCATAGTAGTAATCCAAGTGGCAATTATTCAAGTTGTCTCCGATCCAGCTCTTCCTCCCACCAGTTCCTGTAATCTTGGCAGCCATGGTCACCAAAAAGCTGTTCAAGAAATTCCCAACACCGATCCCACTTGTGAAGAACGTTGTGCCTAGGCTCTGCAACTCATCTGGGGATTGATCATAGAAGAACTCTAGCAACCCTATGGCATTGAACACATCTGCAATTCCAATCAGAACGTACTGAGGCAAAAGCCAGAAAATGCTCATAGGGACTATGTCTTTTGGTCCTTCCAACCCATGTGAGGATATGACGCGCATTCTCTTAACTTCAATGGCGTATGCAATTGCGATGGCTATGATTTGGATCGCAAACCCAATACCCAGCCTTTGAAGCAGTGTGATCCCTCTGGGATTTCCTGTTCTCTGGCGCATGAACGGCACGAAGAAGCGATCATACATTGGCACAGAGAGGAGCATAGACAGAGTCACGAAGCTCCCAAGCGAGGCTGCTGGGATTTTGAAGTCAGGACCCAGGTTTCTGTTCAAGGTGGTTCCTTGTTTAACGAAAAGAGTGTTGATTTGTGCCCAAATGGTGCTGGGAATTAGTGTCACCAGCCATATGAGCATCATTCCACAGATAAGCTTGGTTTCTTCTACCTGAGTCACTGTCAAGGGCGTACTTGAGGAACTTGTGCAGCCTTCTTTTATTGCAGCCTTGTCCAGGAACCTAAGTATACCAGTTTCATCCAATTAATCCATCGTCTGTCTAAATAACAAAACCTACCTAACACACTAGGTCTTCATCCTTGTTTCCGCATGTTACTAGTGGAAGAAGTTGTATCAACCAAACAGTACAGTTTGTTCAAATCCTGTTTTTCATCATATGTATTTAGTGTAAGTTGAGGGGAAAGAAGCTAGCCTGTTTCACGTGGATATCATTTTTGATGATATGAAGTGGTGATTTTGAAACACTAATGTGTCGGTCGGGTGCAAGTTGCTTGAAGGATGGGACCAGTCATCTAGATGGCCTTTTTGGACATATGTGTATGAACTTTGTAAATGGAAGGAATGGATTGAAGTGAATGGCCTATACCCAATCCCCAGAAAAGCCCCACCCTTCGATTAGTGGATTTCCTACCTACGCAAGAAACCAAAACTCGAATCTTTTGAGAATGGACCGTTTTGTTAGATACCTAAGCTTAGTGGCGGAAGTTGCCATTGCTTCGATTAGGTGTGTTTGGTATGAGGGATTTGGAAGGGAGGGGAGGAAGGGAGAAGGATTTTAATTATTTCTCTTTGTTTGGCAACACATAAATTTTAAAAGGAGAGGAAAAATTTTAAAAAATTTTCCCTCCCTGCCCCCTCAACCTTCCTTCCAAAATTGGAAGGATTTGGAGAGAAAGAGTAATATTTTGTCATGTTGTGACTATTATATTCATATTTTAAATAAAATAAGAATAAAATTGTCTATGTTAAAATATTTTTCCCTTCTCTCTCCTCATGAACCAAACAAGGCAATATTAAAACTCCCCCCTCCCCTTCCTTTTTATAAATCCAAACAAGATAATATTAAAATCCTTCTACTTTCCTCTCCTCCCCTTCCCTCCATTAAAATCCCTCCCCTCCCTTTTAAATCTCATTTTCATCATTAGAATGACAGAAAAAAATTTTAGTTTGTTTTTCATTCTAATAATGAAAGATTTTTTGACTTAATCTTATTATTTCTGTTTGGCTCCTGAGAGTTTAAACTTCCCGGGGCCACAACACACACACGCACTTGATCTCAAGTTGGTGTTCCAGAAAAAGATGCTTTAATTCGTGTTCCATAATTCACTGTACGTTACTATCCCACTAGGCCACTAGTAGTATCACGCTCGGCCTTACCTAAGTTGTGAATCACCTTAAACAGTTCCTTACAACTTGGAATATATGTATGTAGGGGAATATCAGTCCCATTCCTATTATAGTGAAAAAGAAATTAAAACACACACACACACTCTACTGCAACTTGTGTGATTAGATAGATCAGCTTCCATGGATATTCGATGAGTATTATATAGAACTGTGTTTCGTGGTTAAACAAGCTGTGTATAATTATTGCATTAATTATTCTAGCTAATTATATTATTTATCTGCATCAGATTGTGTGAGAAATGATTAAGACAAATTAAATATTGGAATAATATGGTGCTCACCTCAGAAAAGGAGTGTGATAGACTTGGCGTTTTCCACTGCTAATGTAATGTTGAATCTCATGCTCATGAAGCTTTGAGGGGTCATTAGGGAGCTTGAGTTTTCTGTTTCTGAACGCAGCAATAGGGACTTGAATTATGCCTCTGAGAGGACTCTTGGTTGTCCTGGCTTTGTGGCGATACGTTGGGGTCCCTGCGTAAAATATCAGCAGGGATAATAATAGACCAACAGTTGGGATACCATAGCCTAGGCCCCATCCCAAGTTTTCTTGCACATAAACGAGGCCTGCTGTGGCGCTCAAAGCTCCCAGGAACGTGGTGAACATCCACCAGTTGAAGAATGAGGCCTTGAGTTCTTTCTCACTGGGATTAAAATCATCAAACTGATCAGCACCAAAAGTTGAAATGTTTGGTTTTGTCCCACCAGCCCCAATTGATATTATGTAGAGTGCTGAGTAAAAGAATGCAATCTGTGAAGGAGAAGCCTTGTCGCAGACTCCACTGGTGCAGTTTGGCCTCAAGCTCTTGAGGGATACAGCTACAGTCAGAAGAGTCATTCCCTGTACATGAAAGGGGGTAATTATAAGCTTGATGAATTCTAAACTTAACTGTCTAAACTCTAAATCCATGTTTTATGAAGTGACAAAATTGTTTCCTGATAAACTATAACGTAAATGGGATTAATATCGGTTCATTTTCATTAGTTTGGGCCTATATTAATGATATATTTGTCTAGTCCACACTGGCTGGGGGTACTTAACGTGAAATAAAGTCCGAACTGGTGTGGGTCTTCTTTTGGTTGGAAGATAGAATGGATTGATATGTAGATGCAATTTAGCAGAAGATTCTAAATCTACCACTCATCTCTGGGACGAGGAGTTCTTGGGCTTGGTTAATAGACCATATAGTTTATGTTCAGAAAATAAATATATAGCAGTTAGATTTTAGCTTAATTACCAAGACATAAATGAGAGACGACAGAGTGAAAGTCCAGAAGCGACCCAAGTAGAAATCTGCTATGAAGGCACCAAAAATCGGTGTTATCCACACAGATCCTGACCAGTTATTCACGTTCCTCACAGATGAGACAGTGTCTTCATGGAGTTGGGTTGTGAGATAAATGACCAAGTTGGAAGCAACTCCATAGAAAGCCATCCTTTCAAATGCTTCGTAGCCTTTAACAACACATATACACGAAAAAGGAGCAACCCAATAGTTAATACATGTGATGATAAAACCATATCAACATATTGGCAAATTTTCACGAGCTGGTCGATGAGGTTAAAAATAACAAAGTTAGCATACATACAGTTCAGACTTTTTGTTTAATATGAAAGGAAACTAAAGCCAAACACGCAAGGGAGTCAGACGACAGAAGAGCACGAGTGAAACTGGAAGTTATATAATTAAACTCTAAGGGTAGACATAGATTTTTCAGTTGGACGACACTGAACAAAACTAAACCTTCATAGTCTGAGAAAATACACTGAAAAAAGGAACAGAATATGAATAGAAAGATGCTGACCAACGAGGAAAGCGCAAGCCCTCCATTTGCCTGTCTTAGATGAAAGCGCAGGACGACCACGAAAGTCGATAGTGCCATCTCTGGTATACTCTGATGATTGGGGTTCCATTGAAGAAATTTCAAAGAAGAGAGAGTTAAAGGCAATGGAAGCTAAAGAGGGGGGAAATAATATGACTGATTAGGTTCTCAGGGTGTACAGATTTATATAAAGAGTGGAGCTATAATATAATAGAGCCAAAAGGTTCGATAAGATTAGATCATATATATGTTAAAAAGCGTGCAGCCAAAATAGAAGAACCACTGAGAGATACTTGGAATCTTCAACTTGATGATGATTAATGTTTATTAAACACAACATAAATGCAATGCTTTGTTTGTGGGCTTACTGTCCAACTGGCCAATGGAAGCTAAGGATTTAGCAACTCGTACCCACCGCCCTTTCTATCACTGCCTTGTCATTATATTTTGTCTCCCACTCCTCCTTAGCTTTGGGTCCATTTTAGTATTTATTTAATTTTTTTGGGTTGACTTTATGAAGCAAGTGCACATATAATACTACCATTGATACTTAACATAAGATCTAGTTTAATTTTTAATTTAGTTTTAAATATAAGACCCTAAATTCACTTTGTCTCTCATATTTATCTATTTTTTTTTAAAGTAGCTGTCCTTGTAGTAGTTGTAAATGTTAAAGATTCCATTAAATAGTAGTTCTAATTAATATATATAATTATCAAAGGTATTATATAAAAAAAATATCTATTTATTACAAATAATTAACTTAACAAACTTTATTAATTTACTCAAATTAGTTAATTAGCTCTTATATTAATAAGAGGAAGTAGTAGCATATTATCAATGTTTTACTTTTGATAGAGATTGACATACATATTTGCGATCGAGTTTTTTTCTCCTAGCTAGTAATATGAATACAATGTACATAACATCTGTATATGGTTCACGTTTACTTAGCTTTTTAGATAATTGAAGTTTTCATTCGAATATGATTATGTATATGGCCATCGATACTGACACTAAGTGGTAAATATTTTAAAAAAGCTTTAATTAAGAGTTTTTTTTTTTAGCGTCTCATCCTTTAATTTAACATACCATATATAATACAAAATAACAAATACTATCGTTGGAAGGCTTATATAAAAGTCGTTTCAATTTATTGCATACTTATTCTAAATAGCTGGCTATAAACACATGAACATGAGATATTGGGCTAGTTTAATTTAATATATTCAAGTTGAAGTGACGCTAATCCGATTAGACAAGTCTTTAAAATGTTTGTATAATGTCCCAAATTGTATATATATCGCTCAATCATTTGGGATGTGTCCTACCAATGGCTGGTGTATGTTACGTTATTCACTTTTTCCAAGTGGAAGTGTGGTAGTTCCTCTAATTTTGTTTTAAAAACTAAAAATTATATTAGGTACATATATATATGTCCCATCAATGACTAGTATTGTGACCAAAACAAACAGGTAGATATAATATTGATCAAGAAAATTTGTAGATTTTTTTGGGTTAATATAATCTTTAATTCCTCAGATTTGTTTTTATTTTGATTTTGATTGCTTAAATTTCAAATCATACGTTTTAGTTTCTCAAGAGTAAAATGATTCAAGTTTTTATTAGATTATAGAGAATAATGTTTTAAATAAAAAAAAACTTAAAAAACGAAAACTTATAATTTGAAGCTTAATAGACCAATATCAAAATGAGGACAAACATGAAGGATCAAAGTTTATATTAACACGATTTTTTTTTATACATCCACTATACAGTGTTATGATTCTTTAAACGCCTTAATTGTGATTAATTGAAAAGGGGAAGGCATGTCAAGCAAAGGATGCTTGAACCAGCACCGAAAACTCATCCACATTCATTCAGCTGTTCCAACTGCAACTTGCATAGTTCCTACTTGACGCCTCGGTTACCAGTCATAATGAGGAAACAAAATAACCATAAAAAAGAATAATAAAGATTATAGACTAGAGATGTACTCATACTACCTCCTCCAATCCTCATTAAGACTCAGTTAATTAATTTAAAAAAGTTAAAAAAGTTACTAAATTACAGCATATAATAAATGATCTTTTTAAAATATTTACATGTGTCATTAGATTATGTATCAATTTATAAGTGAAGTAAATTAGTTTTAAAAAAAATGATGAATATAAATAGTTTAAAGTGATTTAATAACTTTTTTAATCTTTCCAAATTAGTCAATTGGGTCTTATATTATGGACTAGAGGTAGTATTAAAATTATTTTCAGCTTCAAAATTATTTTGAAAATTGGCGGATCATTATTTTAAAATTAAAGTTTCACTGAACAAAAATTTTATAGTTCAGAAACATTAAATTGGTTTTTTGTAATTTCAGAATTTCGCAATGTAAACATCAATATAAATATTGATGTCTTAGAAGCGAAACTATGTATATCATGTCTCTTTGCAACCGAGGGGTGAAAATATCTGCATGTTTTATCCATTATGAGCATTTAATTCAGCTTGTTGCAATTGTGCTCCTACTTTGCTAGAAGTTTTAACTCCAGCATTATAAATTCATTGAGAGGGCACCAACAAACCAGATACAGCTGGTAGATGACTGAGTTCCTCAAATATAAAGTTTTGGGATTGAACACGTACATAAAAAATAACTTTGTTGAAAGAAGCAAAACTCATTTCGGCTATCTCTATGTCTTGAGAGGACTAGCCTCTAGCTATTTGTTGAGAGATATCATTCTAATCGGGAAATAAAATCATTGAGAGAGCTTCATTACCCTTGCAATCTTAATATCCGAATGATGTGACAATAAAAAAGATCTGCATGTCCTCATCATAAATGTTCTACTATATAGCTTTTCATTCAAGGAATCAATACAAGGAATGCATTGTACGTTATTAATAGATTGCGAAGGGAAACGAATAAAGAATAAGTTGTTGCATAACAGGAACGGCACATAAAGATAATACCTCTTATATATATCCAAAACCAAAAGAGACAAGAAACGAAGCAAAGTATATATAAGACAAGCCTTATTTCCCCATCTATCAGCCTATTGGCGACGAGTTGTGCCTTGCCACTGAGATTACTTTTGGACATCGATCACTTTCACGTACAATATTGCCAAGCTACTGAAAGAAAACCCTCATGAGCAGGTTATTTGTTCTTTAAAACAAAGAACGATATATATAATAATTAACTAATAGAAGTTAATTTAATTTGTTGGATTGAACTGAATGATATTGACACTATTGTTGTCTCTTCTTGTGCTGGCCAATTGGATGAATGAGGCATTAGCATATTGATAGGAAAGTTCAGTGTCGACTCAAATTAACGATTCAAATCATCTGTGTTCTCCTTTTCCATCCTTTGGCGGGACACATTATATCTGAACATGTTTGATTGGTTGGTTCCCTGCGAATCATTATTATTTTTTAATTATTCTTTTCACTGACGATAATCGTTATCTCTAAAAAGGGCTTGATGATATATAGCGTTTTGTATGGTAAGATTCATACAGCCAAGTGCAATTATGGGTTAGATTGAGACATGGAGTTTATTGGCCAGCTCGCGCACAACGGCAAGGTAACGGGGAAGAGAAAGTCAATTACAATGAAATTAATCTCATGTATGTTTTTCTCAAAGAAATGTCACTCCATATTTTACATATCGATTTTACACTAAAACATAAGTTGAAGACTTGTGTGTGTATGTGTGTGTGTGAGTGAGTGTAATCAAATCAAATAAAAAGGTTAATACATAAGAACTAAGAAGTGTTTGATAAGTGTCGTGTCATAAGATTGATAAAAGTAAAATAGGCAACTGAAATTATAGGTTAAAATGATGAGAAGTCGAATTATTGGTCGGTTCATCCACAAATTGCAAAGGTAGCTATTTCGGAGAAGGAAGAACGGAGGAAGGAACATTTTTGGGTTTGGTTGGGAGGGTAGGAAGAAAGAAAGAAGATATAATGATAAGATTTGAGGTGGAAACAAAAGTAAATTAAAGCAAGAATGGGCCGGCCAGAAAGAAAGCAGAGGAAACAAGTTGTCGTGAGTGGACCACTTTCATAGGCATTCATACAGTCAACTCTTTTTTCCAATTCAATCATATTCAAATAATAATTATAAATACTACTGTCTCGATGCTAGGTGCTAAAAAAATAAAAAAAATTAGTTAAATTAATTATTTGTAATAAATATATATTGATTTTTTTTAAAATTACTCTTGAGTGGAGATTTTTGAGAACACATAATAAAATTAAGAAACAAAATAGATTAAAATATTATATTTATGACCGTTGATTAACTTTTATATTTAAAATCAGAGGTAACATATTGTATTTTACAATTGAAATTTCTCACCTGTCTTTCAGATATGGTTAATTTAGTCTAAGAGGAGCAAGAGCAATTTTTTCCTTTTAAGAAAACACAATATTATGGAATACAACGGGCCCTTTATTGCCTTAATTCATTAAATCTTTCCCATCTAGACAAGGATTATGAGACGCTTGGATATTTCATATTACTCCTTTACCCGATCTTTAACTTCAAAGTTCAGATTCTTCTCCTGGGGTGGGGGGTGATGTGGAGAGTAGTTTCTAGAACAAAAAATTGACACTTTTTAATAGGAATAATGTTCAGTTCTGATTTAAAAAAAAAAAAGCATATTCCAATGTAAGAGTGCACATGGACAGGGTTGGACTCCTGCCCGATGCCTTGCCCGAAGTAAGAGCGGGCTGCAACCTGACCATAGATGCCCTAACCATTTTGGACAGGGCATGGGCAAGGCTGAACAGGGCGGGTTTCATTACCCAAAGAGTGATGCCTTGCCCTCATGTTATGGGCAAAAAATTTTTATCCACACCTAAAAATTACATCTTATAATTCTACATTTTGACACATTAAAATCATTCAGAAATAATCCAAATCAAGTAAAATCATCCAAAACAGACGGGGTGTTTGAAGAGGGGTTGACGCAGCTTAAGACCTTCCACCAACAGTCGGGGATGGTAATGTAATAGAAGTTTCATCATCGATTGCAGCTGCAGTATCATATAATTCAACAAACCATTTTTTAAAAATATATCAATACATAAATAGCAAGAAATTTGAAATGAATCGAAGCAGAATCATA